AGTCGACAATAATCTACTGCTTGGAATTTCTGTTCAAAATGTGAAAAGCATTTGGAACAAGCGACTGTCTAAACTGGCAGCGCATAGTCTTGGGGACACAAAAGTGCACTCACAATTGATTGTAACTCAAAGGTGCAGTGGGGTTACAGGGTCCCACATAATGCTGTGGACTTTCAGAAGAATGCGTTTCTCATACAAGTTGAGGGAAGGTCTGATTGGGTTATTTTCTGGGCAATTCTGCACGGTCTTTCAAGCTTTTTTATATTAACCTGTGAGAGATTGCCAAAAGTACACAAGAGGTTGAACATAAAAATACTCTGAATCACCGACTGATAAAATAGTACTAGAATGCTATTATCCACATGAAACACCTGAAGTTTTCCTAGGAATTATAACCTCAGGCTTGCCTTGCTAGCTTCACATTGTGAATTTCTATTCCAGTTCAGCTTCTCACTGTTCCCAGATACTTGTATTCGAAAACCTGCTCAATACACTGGTCATGTATGACCAAGGGGATATGGCTAGAATATCCAAAAATCACCAAAAATCAAAACTCATTTCTTTTGTGTTGTATACATTCAAGACCAAGTAATGACTGTCACACAAATCAACAAACCATTGAATTCCTTGTGGACAAAAATAGGTGGAATCACACACCCTTGAGGAGCTCCGAGACTAAGAGACTTCATCTTGAAGTGACATTATTGCACTGCACCCATTTAGGTCTGTAGACTGCACGTTATGTACAACGTATACACATGGTCATGCTTTGCATTCATATTCCTTTCGGTTGCATACGTGGCACTGCTGTAATGGGTGATAACTTTCCAATCTAGCGTCCAACACAACCACAGTTTAATGATTCATAACAAAACTGACAGTATGATCTACGGGGTAACAAATGTTTCTCCTGGTACCAACAGGACCAGACAACACGCCGATGAAGCAACACCGTGAATTATAAGTGAACACGAAGTAATTGATCAATATTATGGCTGGTGAATGTTGCATATTGCCGGTATCAACTTGAGACCAGCCATAATATTGAGACCAAAGGGGCCCAAGACCGAGATCACAGCTACCGAGACCAAGACTGAGACCGGCAAAAAGTGATCTCGAGACTAAGACCAGTCTCAAGACCTACAACACTACTCAACACCCCCAAAGATATTCACCAGAATGCATTAATTCTGAGAAACTGGAAAATTTAGATTCTATGATTGACTCATCTTGGACTCCACCAAAGACAAGGCCCTGAAGGCTGTCAGAATAACTCAAGAACTTGCAGATTGCTTGGGCTTCCTGATCAATCAGAAGGGGTTCCAGCTGAACCCTCCACTCAGGCAGTCTACCTAGGGGCAGAGCTGGATCTTCTGTGGGGCGTGGTTAACCAAACAGAGTGTGTAACACTTTTCCTTTCCACAAAAATTATTCTGGCCGTAGCATGTTTATGTCTTCTGGGACCCATGGCCAGTTTAATCGACTTAGTTCCATGGTGCAGATTGAGGATGAGACCATTTCAACTCCATCTCAAAGATAGAGTCGGAATGCTGCAAGATAATCCGCATTGTCCCATTCAGGCCCAGCCAACCCTGTTTTCAGATTATAATCGATGTCCATATAGTATGGTAGATCTGCTGGCACAACCTCATTTTCAAGATTCTGCTGCTAGATCCAGAGACACTTCACTTGATGTGTTGGCTATTGCTGAGTGATCCCTTAGAGCAGCAGGACGTTTGGTGAATATGGCGACCGCTGCTGCCTGAAGCTGTTGATCCTCAGCACAACTGTGTAACAGCCGACGATGACAAATTGTCGCAATGATTAGTCCCCTCTCAAGATATAGGGTCAGTTACGTCAACCTTGACAAAGTTTCCATATAAAGCTATTGCCTCTCTGTGACTCTTGACATTAAAACAGTTTTTCTAATAGCAGTGGCTGCTGCTAGAAGACGAAGCGAGTTGCATACCCTTACCATAGAACAGGATTGTGTACGATGGGAATTACATGTAATACAGTTGGTTCCTCATAAAATGGCTAAGGCTAAGGATTAATCATCTTTCAGACCCTCAAGATATATTGATTCTGGATAAAATACCATTCTCGTCCATCCAAGATTACAACTTCTGGTGTTTGGTCTGGGCCCATTCATTCAAGAAAACAAATGGAGCAGGGAAATTGTAGCATGGTGTCACATGTGGTTTAAAAACATTTACAGTCATTTAGAAATTGTTACAAAGCTTTAAAAACCAGAAACTGATACCTTAAACAATATGAGTGGCATATACATTCAACATGTAGAGTGACATATACATTCAACATGTAGAGTGACATATACACTACCAGTAACCACTCAGTGCCGGGGTTCCTGGTACCGGGTACCTTGGGTTTGTATCCATAGCTGGGTTGCCCGAAATTGGACAAAGCAGCTGGGCCTTGTAACAAACGACCGTACTCAGAACAAAAGACTGAGCTGCTGGGAATTACCAAAAACTTTCAGCACAGATTGCTGGCATTTTCGGAGGTAATCCATCATTGTTTTGAAACAGTGTACCACTGTTTGCAGCGTTCAGTGTCCGCGGATTATCAACGGGGACAAAAGTGCTCCAGCACGCCAGCGATGAGCAATACAGTACCACTGCATGCTAATTTGGTGGCATTTGAAAAGACACCACTGCCATTCAGCAACGCACTGGGCCAATTTCAAGAACAAAGGAAATTACGCTACACCACACAATCTGGGCTCTCTTTACTGGGCGGCAGGTCTGGCTGCAATACTTTGGCTTCAATGGAGGTTGCCTGTCAGATTAGAGTAGCCACTAGATAGTCATTTGTGTAAAACGTCCAGTAAATGAAATTATGCATTTTGTTTATTCAAAAACGAAAAATCTTGAAAATAGCCCAGGAACTCATCCTGCATATGCAAATTCCACCTGACAGGCAGTGGTTAATATTAGATTATATTAGTATAATGCCTCACCCCCTACAGTCTCTTACTCAGTTGAAAGCCTTCACTTGGTTTGTTCATGTACATGTTTTTGCTATTTTAATAATTTTTGGCATGCCAAAAAGTACTGTATTGTAAAAATTGTACACTAGTTGTCTGCCCCTCAAAAGTACTATAACAATAGCACCCGGAATTCAGCATTAGTTTCAGAGATTTCAAGAGTGGGAATGGGTAGAACTCTTTTGATCTTTTTGATATTGAATGAAATTTGAAGAGATAATTAACTTAACCCCCCAGGGTGTGAGCAAATCATACTATAATTGGACATCTTAGGACTTTAAATCTGTTCAATTGCAGGTTTTGGTGGGTGAGGTGTTACCAAGCAACTACATGTATGGACTGTTTTAATGTTTTGTGTGGGCATTCTTATTTTGGGAGGTAGCATTCCTCAACTCAGAATGATTGCCAGTAGATTTCCTAAACCTTTTATCTTCGAAAATCTGATGAAGTTTATTCTAGCTTTGGAAATATACACGTATGACAAAAACTCTGAGGTTTTTGAATGGTCAGACTTAGGAATTTTTGGAGAACAGCTTTCTTCCATGGAGGCAGCATTGCCCCTTAAATGAGAATGTTGGCTTAGTTTAAGTCCAAAGCTCTTGATCATTTAAAGGAAATGTGAATTAGTCCACCACTCCAGTTCCTCTTCTGCAGATGTTTGGTTTGCTTTTAAGTTTTAAACTCATCATGTACATGTATAGTATCATAAGGCACACGTTAAAGGCTCCACTACATGTAGTACAGTGTACACCGTTCAAGTATTGAACTCATAGGAATGCCCACTGGTTGTGATGCATGCGTGCAGATTTGGGAGGTCACTGGATGGAGACTAATATTTCAATGATAACTGTTACCTTCTTTTGTTCTGTGCTTGTTGGAATTTCAGTGCAGAGTCGTCACCATCCTGAGCATTATTTTGTTTTGTTTGTGCCATGAGGCTTGACCTACATTGTTACTGCATCTGCGGTAGTAATTTTGCTCATGATCTTGTTGCTTAGTTGTTTCAACAACTCTTGCTTCCCCTCATGGATTGTCCTCTGATGATTTTGGTGATGGTTTTGATTCCTTTTGTCATCCAAGGCTTTTCAGTTATGAAGCTTGGCTGTGATACAAGGGGAAAAGGTGTTTATTTACATACTGGAGTAAATTACAATTGCTGCCTTTCTAGTTCCTAACACGTATGTCCATGGAAAATGACAATGCAGAATCTGAATTCCTGTACCTGTACATGTCGGTTCAAATCTTAGTGAGTATAGATCTTCCATGTGTTGTGACTTTTTGTATTTCAGTGTTTAGACAGCTAAATGCTCACTTGAACAGTGCTTAGGAAGAGTGACTTTGCGTAAACATTTCCAGTGTTAGTTAATGTCTTATGAAAGATACATGTAGCCTCAGAGTTCTAAAGTTTGCATTCATGATGTTGCCCCCAGATGTATTTTTAAACCGAACTTATGTAATGAACACCTATAGAGTACATGTATGTCAGTGATGAATTCCTGTGACTTAAATTGGATGAAAAGAAGTACATGTACATATGTAATAATGTCCTCGACAAACCACAGTATTTTTAATTAATGCTAACATAGATTTCTAAGTAATTAAGATTAATTACCAGTTAACACAATCTTGTTCTACAGTTGAGGAGCCTATATTCACCTGTTGCATAATAGTTATTGTGAGACCCGCATTGTTGTGAGAACATAGCTTTACATTCTCGTCTAAAATTATAAACTAAAGGAATTGTTCACTCAACACAGTGTTGGCCACAACATATCTTCCTGTTATAAGCAAATAGTATGTGTATACCGGTAGCTTCCCTTTTGATAGAGCTACCCTCAAATTTGGACACGGCTAACCTCTGATGGCCCACACAAAAGTATGGGAATAATGAAGACATGCTTCTGTTTGGCACTTTCATGATGAGACCAATAATATCCTGAAGCATTTTTGAGACATTACTGCCCCTTATCCCATTGTGTCACTTTGTTTTCAGCTCAAGCTACTGCCGCTGCTGCTGCTGCTGCAGCGACTACTGACCCATTACAGCAGGCTTACACTGGGATGCAACAATATGCTGGTAATTCACATTAATATACTTATTAACTGCAACCTTGGGCATAAATCTTCTTAGGTGTCAAATGCTTATCTTATGTTTTTGGTGAAGAACAGAGATTTACATCTGTTTAATGTGTCTTATACGAGAAAAGTACATTGGCATACATTCGTCAGTTGTTTTGGTATGGCTGCCCCCAGTTTGGCAACTGAATATTGTTATGTTGTGTCCATACATCCATTCCAGATTAGAAACTTATCTTTTGAATAAAAGGGGCTTATGAATTTTTGACAAAGCAAAGTTTGTTTGGGTTATCAAATGCTCAGGAAATCAAAATCACCATGATGTGTATAGACTGCATTCTGAGTGTTTCCCTTTCATTTTGTTTTTGTTTTGTAGGTTTGGGGCATTTTGTTTTGGTTTTCTTGTAACTTTGGATGTGTTTGTTTGCATATTTGTTTGTTACTTCATCTGTTCATTTGTTTGTCCATTCCTTTCCCCTTGGTTTGTGCTTATTTTCGAGGCATTTTTTGCAGACCTGCCTTACAAATGTTTAGGCATGGTGATTTCCAGGCCAACACTTGCGTACAAAAAATAAAGTTGAAAATTAAAAAAAAGAAATAAATTGTGCATTTTGTTACATGTATGCTCATTTCCTTTCATGTTTCACCTTTAAGGCAGTTCTCACTGGAAGTGAAATTTCAAATTGCAAAAGTTTTCCTTGAGTCAGCGCTTAACCACCGGTTGCACCGGTGAAATGGCACCATTTTTATAGCACTGGAGCCATATGCATGTTGGAAGCCAGTAACAAAACAACAGGCAAAAATTTTTGAAAATGATTGAAACAAGCAAGATTTTCACTGAAGATTTCTGCAAATCAAGTAACAAAGGCTAAAGTCTATCTGCAGAATTATTTTCTGTTATGGTGATTTTTGGAGGTCAAATCTCCCGGCTTTGTCATGATTATGGTGTAAATTTTTTTGCACCAGAATTGCAGAGCTGGTCCACATGGCCGCCTGTGCACAAGAAACCACGGAGAGAAGGCTGCATATTTTTGCTATCATAAGCCCAATTTTCCTCGACTTTTGAGTGATTATAATCAGTCCTTGATATATTTCTTTTGTCTAAAGCAAACTTGTAACGTTTGGTTGAACCGCACACAAATCAGATGCTAAAGGGAATGTTTAGTCTACCTGATTGTTTAAGAAAGCAGTATTTGTTATAGCAGTGTGCTACTGTATTTTAATGTAAAATAAGTAACAATGTGATTGAGGAATTTTTAGCTGTATGAACCAGTAGTTATCATTTCATTAGGATAGTACTTTTAAGTACTTAACATAATTTTCCTCAGCACCGTTGTGTTGTGAGCATGGGATTTGTATTTATACCCCAGAGTCATGTTAGGATTATGGTAAGATGTGTGACACATCAATATGTACTTGTACTATTATCCTGTAAAACAAATTGGTTCTAATTATATCACAGGAACAGTTTTTTTTTCTCTCTCTTTTGGTACATGTAGCATGCTGTTGCATATTTCACTCTTCATTCGCTTTATTTGGTATTTTTTGTGTCTTCTTTACTGCAATTGTGTTTTGTGCTGATCATGATTTTGTCAAATTATTGATTGCAGTTTAAATGTGCCCATGTGGATTGTTTTCGTTTGGCATTTTTCATGAAGAAAATATTTAAAGTTGCTGAAAGAAAACCAGTTATAAGAGTATCAAAACTGATCATTTACTACAAGGTATTTGGCCAAAAAATCTCAGAATCTGCTCCAAGGGTTTCATGTATTTGGTTGGTGAGAATGAAGATAATACTTTGGTAGTATTCATGTTTTACCAAGCAGTCCCAAAGAACCAAACCTGGCAGATATATTGTAGATTACTTGCAATGTTACAGCAAAGTGTTATAGAAGTGGAGCTATTGTATGGGAAAGTGCCCATTGGGGTAAGATTAGTTTAATGCAGTCTTGAGATATGGGGAATGTAACCCCAGTGTTGATCATAAATCATAAGGTCATATTTTCAAAACAAGTTAAGGCATGTGTTTGATTTTATCAACATAATGGAATGTAGAAGCAATCTGTTGCACATCTAGCAGAACTATATTATTTGAATCTGGCCTAAATTAAGGGATAATCACATTTGAGTGCTGCCTCAGAAATTAGTTAGGGCACTCGTGGTTATGACCCATGATACAACCTACCGAGAACTAATTTATGTCAAACGATATGTGCAAAGCAATCGTAAGTTGTTTATTTCTGAAAATTAGGCTCTGCATTGATCCACCCTGTGCTGATAGTGCATGTTACTACTCGATATTTACCATTAAACGTATTGGGGGTGTAGACTCGCACATGACTTGGCTTATTTGGGTGTTTAATTATAATATGATTGACTTCTTGTGTTTCTACAGCTACCTATCCTAATGCCTATGGCCAACTAACCCAAGGATTTCCTGCCCAGCAGACAACAGTCATGCAGACCCCTCAGGCAAGGGAAGGTGAGTGCATGTACAGGAGTGTAAACCTCATCACTGATGACCAATTTTTGGGAAATTCATTTTTAGTGAGCTACGAAGCAAATGTGAGCCTATATAATACCAATTTCTGTCTGTCCATCTGTCAGGCTCTCTGTCTATCAGGCCATCCTTCTGCTCAATATTAAAATCTTTACTTGTGAGTTAGTATGTATCATTTGTGCTTGTTTATTTCCATCTTGAGTTTACTAAAATCAGATCTTTTTGTGGAATCATTGCTTTGAAGTGTTGTTTAAGGAACATGTACATATTTAATGAAGAAATTGAACCCAAAATGTTAGTCTTGATTACAACGTTTGCCACACATGTACATTTGAAAGGGAGACAGGTATGGATAATTGGGTAAGGGAAATGAGTAGATGGATGATGGGATGGGATCGGGTTGGAGCAGGAGATGGATGGGATGATGGGATGGGGAAGCAGAGATGGAGATGGATAGGATGATACGATAGGGGAGGAGAGGGGAGGAGTGATGGGAGGAGTTAGATTTAAGGATTGGATGGCATGACTGTTTGGGGGAGGCCGAGTTGGAGATGGATGGGATGGGGAAGGAGGCAG